CAAAAATTTGAACAAAGCTCTGAGAATTTCCAAGATAAAACTAAAAGTGGAAAAAAGTATTAAATCGTTCTTTATAATATTTATTGTAGATAAATGAGATTTCTAATTATGCAATATGATACTGTTTCTAAATATTATACCACCAAGCCATTTGAATTCTCTAGATTTCTTCAACAATGCTTTTTTGTTGCACCAAGTTAAATTTCTTGTTCTTAGATTTGTTATAAGATATATTTTTTCATAATTTTGTTCGTTTATTTTATTTATGATTATATAAGTTTGCCGGATAATGTAATTTTATTATATCCAGAATATTTTGGAGCGGCAAGTTCACGTGTTTAATTGGACTAAGTGTCTTATGTCCAATAGAAAAATATGACAATATCTTCTATATTGTCCATGTCTATATTTTGCCAACATTGTGCGCTATCCAATTTTGGGGCCGATAAACCTGTGAGTAACTGGGTTATTCACTGCAACCCACAGTGTCTGACGTGTCCAATAAGTAAATGAAAAAAGCACGGGTTGTTACATAAGACCCGATAAAATTTTCTATTTCTAATTTCAATTGATACTTCATTGAAATATAGATGTAAATATTTATCCAAAACATCACGACATACTTTAACCCAACACTTAATTAAGCAATACGGTTATCAACCAATGTTCTAGGTGTTACCAAAATATAAACGTATGCAGTGATGCATTTGTATCAGTAACACAACCTCCTAAAAAGAACTTCTAGCGATGCTTTCTCAATAAATAATTGATCAAATTTAGTAAAGCATTTTATATTAATTCTATAGTTTTATGGAATTAAATTAAAAGAAAGGTCATTGAATTTGGTTTAGTAGTTGTCGAGAAATCATAGCTAAAAGTTAAAAAAAAAATCAAACTGCCATCCTAATTTGTGAATATTGATTCTATAAACACATAAATCAATATAAAAAAGATTTGATAGAATTTGATCAGGCAAGTGCAAAGTAATCTTCATTCAAAGTTTAGCTCGACAAAGCCTTTTTTTTTGCTTTAATGAATATTTCTATAAACCTACATAGTTTGCTTTCGAGAAATCTTTGCTTAAAGTTCAAAGAAAATTTTATCCAATTTTTTTTTTCCGATATTTTTTTTTAAAAAACTTTAGCGATGATTTCTCTAATGAACCAAATTCAATGGCTTATAAAATAATTTTTATTTTTTTTTATCAAATTTAGTTAAGTAGCTACTGTGGAATTATCGTTAAAAGGTTTAAAAACTTTCGGATTTATTATATGATTAAATTTCCAGCACAATAAGCATCGGTATATGGTACTGTAGTTACAACGCATGTATTTATTAACAGAATAAATATTAGAGTTAGGCATTGACCGGAAAATCATTTGATTACCGTATTTCCTAGCAGTATGCAATGCATTTATTAATTACTCTGCATAGTTAAGAATTTTCTTTCAGAAAATAAATGAGACTATGTACGTGCAAGTGATATAATGAATTGGAATAATTAATAGTTTGTTGATGAGAAAAACAGATAATAAATTTAGCCAAATAGTACGATGTTCATGAAATATTTACTGTTTGCAACACAAGTTGTAATTATTGATATGTAACCGAAATTTATTTTCGAAATTCTTCAGTTTACTCATTTTTAGGTACATACCTCTTTAGTTGGTAATAGTTGCCCTTATTTAGACTTATTAATATTTTCATTGTAAAAGAATAACGAGTTTTCTTTGGCGTATTCAATTATAATATATAAGTTAATCTTTCATTATATAAAATGAGATGTTTTCCAATTTAATCTATAAAATTTACAATACTTAAACTAAAAATTAATTAACATAAGAAATAACTTACTGGTATACAAACAATTTATTTACTTATAACGAAATTAAATAAATATTTCCAAGTAGTATACAAATATTCGTATCAATATCACGTAATGTTTCTTATTTATTTACTGCATGTTTAAATAATTTAAATAAGCGTCTCTTTAAATTCTTGGTTGATTACATCGCATTACGAAATCAAATCATGGATGAGAAAAGTGAAGGGTAACTATTTACAAAGATTTTATAATTAGTTTGTGTTATTTTTTTTCTCTCTAATTATAAATACTATAATTATTATGTACATTGTAACTTTTAGATTTGATGGATTGGCTAAAAAACCATGTAGAAATTCTTCATTCCGATGAAAATGTTATTAATGCTTTTAAGCATTTGGAAAAAAATATTAGATATAAATCAAATGATCCTAAATTGTATCCAGAGCTTAATTGGTATGCAACTGTTGGGTAATTCTAAATATATATATCTATATTGCGTGTCTTTTTTTTTTTTTGTTGTTGACTTTCATCTTTTATGTTACTGTATAGAAAATCTAATGAACTTTGCGAAGATGAAAAGAAATTTGTCCATGATAGAAAAACTCATATTCGTGAAGCTTTCGCAAAATATGTTGGTGTTGAAGTTGATGAGATTCACCTCGATGACATTCCTACAATTGCATTTACGGTAGCGGTGGTGGAATTAGATCTATGATTTGTGTTACTGGTAGGTCTTAAAATTATGCGCAATAACTTTAGGGAATTGTTATTGCCACCTCCCAATTTGTTAGTGCCACCCGCACAGAAATAAAAACTTTGTGCGAAGATATATCGACAACTACCTGCTTGAATCTGATAAAACAGTTTATATTTGAATTCTATGGATTCATAGAATTCAAATAAAAAAAATTCCATCGAATTTAGCCATGTGGTTGTCGAGATATCTTCGCTCAAAATTAGAGGAAATTCAAAACGCCTATCAAAGTAGGAATTGCGCAAAATTTTCTCTAATTTTGAGCGAAGATATCTCGATAACTACCTGACTAAATTCGATAAAACTTATTTTTGTTTGAATTCTACGGGTATATAGAATTCAAATAAAAAAATTATTATTGAATTTAGTCAAGGGTTATAGAAATATCTTCGCTCAAAATTAAAGAAAAATCAAACTGTCTATCAAAATAGAAGCTATGCCAAATTTTCTTTCTAATTTGAGCGAAGAGAAATTTGACGTAGCTTCTATTTTGATAGGCGTTTTGATTTGTTTCGATAACAACATGGCTAAATTCGATTAAATTTTTTTTATTTGAATTCTATGAATCCATAAAATTCAAATCTAAAAGGTTTTACCAGATTCAAGAGGGTAGTTGTCGATATATCTTCGCTCAAAGTTTTTAAAATTTTTATTTTACCGAGATCTGCAACACAGTCTGTATATAACGTTGGGGTGGCACTAACAAATTGGGAGGTGGCAATAACAACTCCCTAACTTTATTAATTTATATAATATATTATTCATTTTTACTTTATATTTTACTTTTAACAAATTAAAGCATATCTTAGTGCTATTCAAGAAAGTGGACTTTATGATTGTGGCATATATGTTTCAGGTAAATGTTATAAAAATAAATAAAACACATATCAGAATAATTAATTTAATAATTAGATTTCTTGCCTGACTAACATAGGTGGTAGTGGAAGTGCCTGGAGTAATGTTCAACGATATACTTCAATGAGCAATACAAATAAAAACCCAATTCAAGCACAAACAGAATTTCTTTGAACACAACTTGATCATTTCATCGCTAATGCTCCAAAAGTTTTTAAGGCACTTGCTAATAATTCTGCTCCACAGGAAGCTGTTGAATTAGCTTTTGGAAGTTTAGTTCAGAAAAAAGACTCTGGAATTCATTTGTCACTTATAGATATCTATGGTGCATTATTAGCTGCAAAATTGTTAATAGGACCCGACTCTAACACTCAATCCTCAGATTTTAAACTGAGTTCACAAAAGAAATATGTAGAGGGTGGAAAAAATATGTTACCATTATATGCAGCGTCAGTTTTTGTTTAAAGTTATAAAATAATTTATCTCCTAGCACTAAAACTTTTGTATATCTTTACGAATTTCAGTATTTATGATAATCGTCCATGGAAGGATTACCTTGAGCCAGAATATGCAGCTTTAATTCCAAATTATGAACAAGTCTTAGAAAAGCATAAAATGAAAAATGGATATTTTCAATGGTATGAATTCACACCTTTTGAAGTTGGTTGTGAAGAATTTCCTGGTAAATATTAT